CGGCGTGGAGAAGGAGAGCATGGAGTAAGCTCCCCCCTTCCCAGAAGGGGAGTGGATGTCCGTGGGATAAGAGTTGGACCAGTTACGAGTGTCTTGCACCTTCTATTTCCTCATGGAATCCGGTTGATCCATCAGTTCCAACGTACAGGTCGTCATCATAATCTTTGTCGTCAGCAGTCAGTAACAGGCCACCCACAAATTGTTTTGTCCTCCAGTGGAACATACGTGGTCTACATGGCAACATCAGCGAGCTCAAGCTGCTCATTAGTAAGCATGAACCGTCCGTTATAGCGTTACAAGTGACGATAGTGGACAACCGAATTATTGCGCTAGACTTTGCCGGCAAGAACTATACCTTGTTCTTCAAAACGGTAATCGTCGGTACTGGCAGCAGGGAGTAGGCCTTGCCATCCATGAAAGAGTTCCATTCGAGCTCATCGACATCGACTGTGACGTACATGCCATCGTAGTGCGTATCCACTTCCGTCCCCTATGAGGGTGTTGTCGATATAAATCCTCCTGAATTCCCTGCAACAATGCCAATCTGAGCTGAATGACTTTTTCGAGCAACTGCCAGCGCCACTGCTGCTACTTGGCGACTTCAATGCGCACCATCCCGCCTGGGAATCCACGATGTCACCACGAATGAACCCTGCAACTGGTTCATCTTCAGCTATAGATATCTCGATCTGTTCGGAGGTGCTAGCTCCCAGATTTATATGGTGAACTTTTCCGGACACCTACAGCAGCGACCAATTTCCGATCACCGTCTCTTCACCTGAATGCTCACAGGTCACAACGAAGCGGAGAAGATGGCTTTACGACCAAGCAGATTGGACATCATTCGAACGGCTGACTTCCCGCAGCATCAAATCAGACGACGAGCTTGGCGTTGATAAGTTCGACGATCGGGTATTGCAACAGCAAGCATCCTTCGAACATCAGGACGAGTTTGTCACAAATCGGTACCATGGTGGAGCAGCGCCGAAAACTTCTGAGAACATTGAAGCGCAGCAGAGAAGCGGGATTAGACACGGCGGATGTTTTGGAGCAGTTCCAGAAAGCGACGGCAGCGGCTAAGAAAGCAATGAAAAAAGCTAAGGAACGTTCATGGGAGGACTTTGTCGTAAAAATATCTCCAAGCAGCACAACGGCAGACAATGAACAACCTGAGAGGTAAGCGGCAGCACAACAAGGCTGTTATCAAACGACCCGACGGTTGCACAGATAAGGCAGAAGAAGTAGCAGAAGAACTGGCGAAACACTACTGTGAGAGATCGGCAACCTCTAGCTATCCCCCACTCTTCCAAGCAGCGAAGGAAAGAGCGGAGCGGGATCGTGTGGACTCTCTTCCAAACACCAACAACATCTATAATTCGGACTTCTCCCTGGAACAGCTTCTGTGGACAAAGGACGTAGTGTCTCTACACGTCCTGACTAGGTAGGGTATCCGATGCTCCAACGTCTGCCTGTATGCGTCAAGATCGCGTTACTGGAGCTTCTAAACAGAGTCTGGTGTAGTGGCGTGTATCCTATCAGCTGGCGAACCGGAATAATAGTGCCGATTCCGAAGCCGCATTCATCTGAGTCTGGTCCTGCAGCTTTCCGCCCTATCACTCTGACCAACTGTATCGCGAAGGTGTTCGGGCGCATGGTGAATCGTAGATTGACGACGGAGTTGGAGACATAAGGACGATTAGACAAAAGGCAGCACGCTTATAGACGCTTATATACGCGTTGAAACGTACTTGGCGGAGTTGGATAGGTTGGCATCGCAGCAGAATTTCCCTGCACTTTTCAACTCTTCCTCAAGTATCTCAATCCCTTCTTCTGTTTCCTTGTCCATCGATGCACTCTCAGCCACCTAACGTCCTCTTTTTGCTTATCATCGTCCTGAATTTGTTGTTCGTTCTGCTGTTGCATTTCTTGCTGCTTCCGAGCCTTCCAGTTTGCACAGGTATTAATCTGGAGACCCCCCTTCCTCCCATCAATATACATTAGAAACTTTTATTTTTTTTTTAATTTCATCGTAGAATATGTAGGTACTCCTTCCGATTGAGAAAATTTAGTGACGGAGAGATTTCCTATTTCACTACCATCTAAACACCTCGCACTTCGGTGTGCATGTTTAGACCCAGATTCACATGGAATGACTAATTTTGCAATACTTCATGCATCATTATTTGCTCCCGGACCGATAAATATATAAGTCGATGAAAAGTAAATTTCATTCAGCTGAATTTCATATCTTTGGTGACTCAATGTTATGTTAAAAGTGACGCTCGCATACGTTAGTCTCAGAGCACCAAAGTTAATGAGATTTTCGATTAAATTTTTTGTATGTATCCAGCACCAATGTTGCATTACGATCCGGGACTAGCTATGGAAACCTTCAATACCTTTCAATCCTCTTAATAGAAAAAGGGTCATCCCAGTTGTGATGTGGAAAATGCTTTCTTCTCTTAAGTGGGATTTCCGGTTCAATTGACCTAAACTTTGGATTTTTTTTTCCAGGGAACTGGTAAAAGTTAGAGACCTGAGTTTTTTGTCAAATCTTTATTGATTCTTGCTCTACAACTGGGAATTTTTTCAAGTCCAAAAATCCAAAATGGCATCCAATATGGCGGCTGCCCGGCGGGTACTTCCCAAAACTGCGAGCAGCCTAGAGGTCGCAAATCGTCACCTAGAAAGAAAATCGGCTCAGTTTCTTGAAGAGTATAGTTCAGAGAATGGAATGAACTAGAATCTTTGAAATCTCAAAATTTGACAAAATGGCGGGCATTTGAAAAAAGTCATTTACCTAGTTACCGCCATTTTGTCAAATTTGTGGGAACTGAATTGCGTGTAGGGGAGAACAGTACATAACGCACCCCCGGGGTAAGACGCACTTTTTCATTTTATTTTGAGTTTTTCTTGGAATTTTTAATCCAATTCTAGGATTTATCATGCAGGATTTTGAGTTCAGATGCTATGCTAGAAGTGCTGCTTGAAAAGACAACACAAAAGTTACGTAAAAGCCATGAAAAACACAAATGAAAGTCAGCTGGTGCGTTGTATACCATTCTCCCCTACATGCACTTTTACATTCCTTTATTACAATAAAGGATACTCTTGAAAGGGGCGCATGGATGTAAGGATAGGGCGCGCATATCCTAAAACTAAGTTAGTAACGAGCTCTAAATTTACCATGACAGCACTGAAAATAACTCAATGGGGCAATATTCGAAAATACATATTATTATGAGTACTCCTTCCTGGGCGGTGACTTGATTGCAGTTTTCACTCGTGCTCGCAACTTCCTCCTTATTTCATATGAAAACTTGATGAAGATCACTTTCCCCTTCGCTATCGCATCTGTTGCATCCATGTCAACTAGATTCGTGACCAGTAATTTCACGAAATTGGTAATCTCTCCCATCGTGGGCTTCGCACTTTCATTTCGGTAGGCAAAATAAATGGTACACTTTATTTCGACCATTATTGTCGAAATTTTTGATTCCAAAAGTGACGACAAAGCCCGATCTGCAGGCAGTGAACAAAGCATACCAAAAGAAGTGAACAACGGCCGGCGTGATCGAAACCGTGTAGTACTACTGCTGCTTCAACAGCTGACAGCAAACTGTTTCTTCAACTTATAAGGAACGATGTTTGATATCTTCAACTTATGAGGATCGACTTCTTTAACCTTTCAGGAACGATTTTCAGATGATGCAATACTGGTCAAAACTTCATCCGCAAATAACGGTAGTTCGCTAAAAATTGTACCTACCAATACATTCAAATCTGGTAACTAGGTAAATGACTTTTTTTTTCAAATGCCCGCCATTTTGTCAAATTTTGAGATTTTTCAAAGATTCTAGTTCATTCCATTCTCTGAACTATACTCTTCAAGAAACTGAGCCGATGTTCTTTCTAGGTGACGGTTTGCGACCTCTAGGCTGCTCGCAGTTTTGGGAAGTACCCGCCGGGCAGCCGCCATATTGGACGCCATTTTGGATTTTTGGACTTGAACAAATTCCCAGTTGTAGAGCAAGAATTAGTAAAGATTTGACAAAAAACTCAGGCCTCTAACTCTTACCAGTTCTCTGGAAAAAATCCAAAGTTTAGGTCAATTGAACTGGAAATCCCCCTTAAATCCGGTAAGTTGCTTCCATCTCAACAGCATCTACATCCACTGCCTTGGAAATTTCACACCTAGGTGGACCTCACACTTTCGTTAGGAAAATCGATGCAAAGCGTGTGCTTCACATTAATACTAATCAGTAATCACCAAAGTTTGTTTGCTTCCAACAGCTGAGTTACATTTTGGAACAGATTAACAGAAATGCAAGACTTTTTCAATCGATATATAAGTACAGTAATAATCACTTCAATATTCACTTTTACAATTCACGGTATTGGGATTGTACAAAAAACAGATTCTACGGGAAGGGGCATGCTAGTGCAGATATGGTAGGAGCAAAACCAATGTTGTGTAGGTTTACAGTATAGTTGAAAAGGGAACGCATGATTTATTGACGCTCGATTTCAAATGCCGGAGGGTTTAATTTTCCATCGGGAAGTGAAAGAATGCTTTCGGATTTTTTTTTACCATGTGTGCGATGACGACAGAAATGAAATGCGAGGGTTGATTGTTGTCGATTTTTTTTATAAAGATTTATTCTCTTACGTTCTGACATATTCCAGTGTCGTTTGTCTGAGCTGTCATTAAATACCACGTTTTTGTACTATAAAAAATGTACCTGTTTCTTGTTCATTTTCGCTTACTAACTTAAAATAAAATAAGAATAAGATTACAATCTATATTTATGTACAGTTTGGATTGTTGGTAATTGTGATTGGAAATGAAAAATCAATGGATTGAGTCTATCACAACTCTAATGACCGATTTTCCAACAGAGAATTTTCCGTTCTCAACTATGTACAACAATTTTTGATTTCTATCTTTGAATGTCTAAAAACGAAATCTTGCAGTGCTCTACATCGTATTCACAAAATTGCATTCAGTATGTACAATTGACGTCTCATTCTTTAACTCCTAAAATCACCGATTATCATTTAACATTAATATCACCAGATCTCTGAACTATGTATGAATAATTCGCTACGAGTTACTTCCCGAACCGGGAGAGCACTTGAGAGAGCAGCAGATACTCTCAATAGGGTCGCCACACAGTTTTAGCTGACTGCTTGATGATAAGGTTGGGCGACTTTAGTTTGGTATTTTCTGGTGAGGCAGGTTCACTTGGAGCCGTTTCGTGCAGCTGAGGCTTCTTGGACGAAGGTGCTTTGAGTTCGCAGCGTACCGATAGCGGTGTCTGTGGAGGTGGAGAACTTGGAGTTGTCGTAGTGGAATCGGGGGTTTCCGATTTCAGCGGAAGGTTGAGCGCGTCTGAAGTGGTATCGGCCGAGGACGCTGGAGCTGGTCGTAAAATTGGTATGAAGGCTGACTTGACGACATCGATGTGCTCTTCATCGGATTCTTCGGCAGATGAATGGTCGTTGGTGGAATTGAGCTCAAGACTCATTTTAATTTGGGATTGATTGGTGGTGGAGGGAGGAGAGGATGTTGAGTTTCGCGACGAAGCGGGAGAAAGGCGAGAAGAGGATATGAAGTCACTCGAGGATAAGGTTATGGTGGCGGATAACTGGTGAGGCCCTCGAAGACCATTGGCACGGAGTGGTGAGATGTCGTAAGGCAGGAATGGAGACTTCAGGTGCAGCTCGGTATGAGGACTGAAGGGGAATTGTTGTAGGTAGGTGGCTCCATTGGGTAACACTGGTCCCGTTGGGGCAGCAAGACCATTGGGGGTGTTTGGTGCTCCTGACATTGTCATGAAATCTGCCGGCGGAGTTGGTAGTAGAGGTCCTGTTGTACCGTTGGCCGTTGGTAACGTTGGAGATCCTGCGGGAGAAGAAGAAAGAAGAAAAAAAAAATCATGAGCTATCGTAATCTTCTACGGACCACGATGGGTGAGCAATTTCAACATTTCCAAGAGGGATTAAGTGCATGCATGTGGCGGCAATGGTGGCTGCTAGGAAACGTCGTTTCTTCCACTTCATTCATTCTGCACATACGCTCACTCACTCTGATCGGATTATAGCGGAAGTAGCTAGGGTGCTCCGGAAAGCGACAGACAGCAGTTCAGCAGAAGTAGAATAACAGAAGAGAGCGGACTGGCAAAATAAAAAAAAAATCAATCCCCTAGGAATTGATTTTTATATGCAATTTTAATTCCCCAGCATTGGCCACTGGGACAATCGGGACAAGCGTTGCTGTTGTTTTCGTTCCCGTCCAGCCACGTTGGCGATGTTTGTACTTTTTCACTGCCACTCAAGCGGGGCGTGTTATCGGTGCATAAAATTTCGGTTCACGCGGTGACCGTAGTAAGCCTGCGGATTTCGGTAACCCCCAAGTAGCGAGGCAACTCCGCAAAATTTTATGCAATCCAAAACCGACAATTTTCCATTTTCATTGTAATTTAAAATTAATTGAGTTTTTTTTCTCACTCTCCCTCTCTCACCCGTTGCTTGGAACCCAATGGGGATTTTCGGTCCAAAAATCAACCCGCACCGATAAAAAAAATGGCGTCGTTCAAAAAGTGTGACAACGGGAGCGAACGAAAAAGCAGAGTGCGAGAAAAAAAATCCATTTATCCTATTAAACAACTAAGCTTTGCACTAACAGTTAAAATGCATTTCGGTATACAATGATGGAAAAAAAATCGTACGTTTCGGAACGTAAGGCCAAATACAGGCCGCATGTACGAGATGGCCACCATGGCTGATGTGTCCTGAGCGGTGTACCAAAATCGCCACCGGATGCCACCACGAGAGTGACCGAGGAAGTATACACACATAGTGAGTAGAGAGCGACGAGCACATCAACGGACTGGCAATTGCAACTGCGGTCAGGGTTCGGCACCCTTGCCTGACGTTCCGTTGTTGGATGGCGGTATATCGAAAAAGCGTGATGTTTAATAATCCGAAATCGATAAAGTGGTTACCAGATGGGTTGACGGGAACCGGTTTAGGGTTTGGCGTTGTAAAATCATATAATGTCATACGAATCTGTGTACCACAGGTCTCTTGCATATCCAGAATGTTAAGAATCGTGCGGTAATATGAGTGAATATGGAAAATTGCAAGTTAATCTAAACCAACATCAGTCAAGTTGATCTAAGCAAAGTCAGTTTAAGGACATGGTTGATGACAAGGCAAATCAGCCATGATAGTGGCTATTTGTGGATGCTATCAATTTTGTTCTTAATCGGATGTAATTAAAAAGGGCCTATCTTATTCTTCAGCATTTAAATGCTTGCTGCGAAAGTAACGAGTATTCAACGTTTTGAGATAATGAGCAGCGCTAAGAGCATACAATAAAATTACTGTGTAAGAGGTTGCATATGGAAAAAAATCTCACCAATGCCCAAAATCACGCTTGATATTGCAAGCTGTGATACTGTAGCTTCGAATATCAAGCTAACAAAACTCACCAACTACAATTCTAACCAAACCGTGGTGAGTTTGTCATTGTTTTTTGCTTTACATCCGAACACGGCTCGAAACTACCGTCACTGCTGGCATCAGTAGCTTCGAGTATGTCATCGGTGAAGAGTAAAAAGAGATAGTAAACTATACTTTTTCTTTCTTAGACAACGATGAGCAACGGAATCATTTTTGAGTCGAATCAACTCTAAGCTTCATTTTTACATGTTGTGACTAGTCTCCCAATATCAAAAAGGAGCTTGTAAAATCAATATCAAGTATGATATGTTGCTCCAATATCATCCGTAATATTGAGAGCGTATGAGAGCTGGAAAATATCATTCGATTGATGATATGTCAACACTGCCGATAATTGATACGAATTGTAATGTCAAAGCCATCCGTTTACCAAACCAGAGAATGATAATAAAGTGAAAACATAAATTGATATTCTGCTGTTATTGTTCATAATATTAGAGCAGGATAATCCTCAGATTGAGTTAATGGATAACAGAAAAAAGATTTGAATGTATTGGTAGGTACAATTTTCAGCGAACTACCGTTATTTGCGGATGAAGTTTTGACCAGTATTGCATTATCTTGATTCTCTTATTATGTTGCAAAAGCTGAAAATCGTTCCTGAAAAGTTAAAGAAGTCGATCCTCATAAGTTGAAGATATCGAAAATCATTCCTTATAAGTTGAAGAAACAGTTTGCTCTCAGCTGTTGAAGCAGCAGTAGTAGTGCTACACGGGTTCGATCACGCTATCGGCCGTTATTCACTTCTTTTGGTATGCTAATCGATTCGTCAGTTGGCGTGGAACTGTCATATGCGAAATCTCGAAAATTGTTCCAAGTCTTTCAACATTTTCTACACAAATGAGTTGCAAATTTATTTATACATCAAAATCTTGAAAAGTTCCCTAAAAATACAAAGTTATAACATATTGTCGAAAAGAAATATGTCATCAAGATAGGCTTATAACATGTTATAACTGCTCAGTATGGCCAGCGTTTAAGTCGGCGTTCTTAAAGTTAGGGCTTAGTTCACTTCGTTTTGTTTTATTTTCATAGCATAAGGTCTTGGTTGTTTTATATGTGATGTTGATTTTTTTAATTTGCAGAATTAAAAAGAAAATTTTACTTCAACCTACAATTTTCTGTTCCTCGGTAAGTGTTAGAAATTGTTCCACAGAATACTCTACGTTTAATATATATATTTTTCTTAATTCGTCCTAATGGAAATCGATCTAATGGCTCAATACCGTCCTAGGTATAGTGGCAAAAAATCATTCGTATTGTGTTGCAGAAGCTGAACATCGTTTGAAAGGTTAAAGAAGTCGATCCTCATAAGTTGAAGATATCAAAAATCATTCCTTATAAGTTGAAAGAACAGTTTGCTGGCAGCTGTTGAAGCAGCAGTATTACTGCCTGCAGATCGGGCTTTGTCGTCACTGTTGGAATCAAAAATTTCAACAATAATGCCACAATAATGTCAAAGCCTACGATGGGATAGATTACCAATTTCGTGAAATTACTGGTCGCGAATCCAGTCGACATGGATGCAACAGATGCGATAGTGAAGGAGAAGGTGATCTTCATCAAGTTTGAATATGAAATAAGGAGGAAACTGCAAGCACTAGTGAAAACTGCAATCAAGTCACCGCCCAGGAAGGAGAACTCATAATTATATGTATTTTCGAACTTTTTGTTTGTTTCATTGCTACTCAGCTCCGTTGAGTTGTTCTCAGTGCTATGATTGTCAATTGAAAGCTAGTTACTAATTGATTTTTAATATGTGAGCGTCCTGCTCACCTTAAATCCATGCGTCCCTTTCAAGAGCACCCTTTATTGTAATATAGGAATGTATAAGTGCATGTACGCGCAATTTAATTTCCTTTAATTGACACTGGGGTATGCGTAAAACAGGGAAGAGCACCATTCATAAAATGCCATTCGTTTTGTTAGCTATTGCCATCTGAGATAAAAAATACTTCTTCCCAGACCCTCGCTTTGATGAGCCAAACCCCGAATTACTGTTGTATCCCGCCATGATTGATTCGCTATCTTCGTTTAAATAAGAATCGGAAAGCGATACTATCGAAACTCTTCGCTGCATTAAAGAGAAACAGTCAATAGATACCATAAATTTCAGCGAGAATATAAATCTCCAATAGATATCTCCAGGGTAACTTGAAACGTGCCAGTTATTTGCTGCAATCAGATATTTCAAGTAAGACAAAGATCATAGAGATCCTGAAATTTTCCAGATATTCATCGAACAGCCTTGAAGATCTCTCAATTTCCGTGAAGATCTTAAAACTACTCTAAAGTTCACGTAGCTTTCCTAAAAATCGCTTAAATCGAATGAAAAATCGCTTGAAGTTATCGGGACTTCCCTAAAATTCTCTTCCGTTAATTCTGAAGCTCTTTGCGCTTTTCTGAAGTCGTCAGAAGTTTTACCCACAATTTTCCTGAAGCTAATGGAACTGCCTTAAAGTTCTTTTGAAGTTTTTAAAACAACCCTGATACTTAAGGAATTTCCTTGCAATATTTATAATTCTGAACTTTTCTGGACTTCCCTAAAGAATCCGCAATTTTTCTGTAATTCTATGAAGTTCCTGTAGTTGTATCATTTTCTAACATGTTCTCTTAAAATATGTTATTTCCCTGAAGTAAATAAAGCTGCTCTTGAGGTTCTTTGACTTTCCTGAAGTTCTCGGAACTTCTCCATTGGTTCTTCTTACCTTAAATTCTTATAATTCCCCTGAAGCTCTTGCTACTACCCTGAACTCAGTAGAACTATCCCTAGAATTTAATGGAGCTGTAATGATCTTCCCTGAAGCTACGTTATCTGGACTTCTTTGAAGCTCCCGAAGTGTTCCTGATATTATCTGATATCCTGTAAAGATCTTAAAGTTTTCCTGGAATTTCTTAACTTCCTTGGAGGTGTTTGAACTCCACTGAAACTTCAAGAGCTTCTTTTAGATTCCCGAAATTTCTCTTGGAGTATATTGTCACGCTTATGTTAAATTCTCATTTGGGGACGGTCGAAGCGCGCCGCATATAATCGCGCTGCAACCCCGCCCATAAGGATTATACACAGTACACAGTACACTTAGATAGTATTTTATGGCAACGGCTTGAGGAGTGAATCTAGGATAAAGAGCCGCCGTGTATTAAATCAATGGGCGCAGTCGTACGGCCATAAACAGAAAACAGATGAAATAATCCCATTTTGAGAAATTATCCTGCCACACACAATATTTAAGGCAGTTCATAGATTTTAAATGAAATTCTTAAATTTTTGCTGTAGTTCTTGGAACTGCCTATAAATTATCGAAACTAATTCTTCAACATCTTAAATCGTCCCCAACAGTATAATCTGTTTTGATGTTTTAAGTGCTTTACTGATGTTTTTGAAACTGCCCATAGAACTTTGAACTTCCTTAAAGATCCCTTAGGCTGCTCCTAATTACTCTGTTTTTTTTTTGAAGTTGAAGTTCCTAAATATTTCTTAACATTCCCGTAATTTTCCTGAAGTTTTGAAAACTTTTTCGGAACTGGTGGATCATCCCCTAATTTTTTTTTTATTTCTGAACTTTTCTGGACCTTGCTGAAGTTTTTGAAGCAACCTTAAAATTTCTAGAGTTTTTTAAAATTTTTGGAAATTTTTATAATATTCACAAAGATTCCCTAAGGACCCCTAAATGTCCCTCAAGTATCCGAAACGGTCCTGAAATTTTCGAAATATCCCATATATCCTCGCAACTCCTCGTCTTGCAATTTTCCTGAAGTTAATGAAACTGTTCTAAAGTTTTCTGATCATCCTTGAAGTACTTGGAATCAGGGCGACACCATATCAGGTTTAATAAAAAAAAAAAGCGATGCGACGAAGAGACTGCCAGCTTTCTTTTTCTGTTGAAGTCGAACAGCTTTGCAGCATTCTTGAACCACAGTTCATGAAGTTAATGAAACTGTTCTGAAGTTTTCTGATCATCCTCGAAGTACTTGGAATCAGGGCGTCACCATATCAGCTTTAATGAAAACAAAGCGATGTGACGAAGAGACTGCTAGCTTTCTTTTTCTGTTGAAGTTAAACAGCTTCGCAGCATTCTTGAAACACAGTTGACGTCTACAAACAAAATGTTCAATCGCTTTTCTCTCTTTCTCCAATTGGTCATTGGTCTTTCTTTCAAGCTTCGCTGAAGCGGACGAGTGAAAGAGCGCTCGACTTTGATGGTTTCGTCTTTCATGAAATGCATCAAAAAAGGTTTCATGACGTGTGTGACGGAAAATGAAAATATATAGGACTTAAAGCATTTCGCACGTGGAAAAACTTGAAGAGTTTACGTAATGTTATCTTCCATTTACATATTTATCTAAAAAAAAGCATCGAAAACGGGACATAAAGCAGTGATGGAGTGTCAGTGGAAGGAATCGAAGTTACTTTCATTGAAACCGATCAGCAAAACAATGACGAGAAAATCCACAGTCAGCCTTTCGTTCTAAGCGTGCTTCTTTTTCACTCTCGTTTCGTGCTGAGTTTAGCTAGGCGTTATAGAAATGATGCGTTGAACAAGTTGTATGAAAGAAACAAAAGTCGAGTTCAGTTTAGAGCTTCGAAAATGTAGAGCCCTGATCTCCGATACATCTGGATGTACTTGAACCAGGTTGACCTGGATTGTTCGAAAGGCTGGTTCATGGCAACCAAAGGTTCAGATTCTGCTTACATTTTTAACTTTGCTCATTTATAACGAGCAGTATTGATTGAAAAAAAAAACTTTTAAGGGGACGGCTCTTTTTAGGGTCGAAAATCCATACCTCTCTCGCCAAAGTTACGAGTTCAAATCTCAATGCTAGACAAGTAAAGAGTGTTAAAGCGACTATAATAAAAACACAGCTATGTTAGTTCTGCATCGTAACCACTTCTACGTATGTTCTGTATTATGCAGTTTCCAGTCCGCAGTTATTGAGAGAATAATAATACGCGGTTATTCCAGTGCATAATATTGCATTACGCACTGGCCATGCGCCCTATTAGATTTAAAAAATATCACATAGGGAAGATGTACCAGTCATGGCTTTTCGTTCCTTTTGTGGGATTTACATAGGCCATAATTGGAACACACCAATATTGAAACGCATTGTTATGACTGTAACATCTACCCTATCTTAAACTGGTCTCAAAAAGGTAATGGATCTTCCGAATTTCAAAAAGTAATCATAATCCACTAAATTGGATCTCTAGTGGCCACGAACTGACCATCAATAGTTCGTGGCCACTAGAGACCCAATTTTGTGGATTCTGATTACTATACGACATTTACAAATTTATACAGCTTCAAAATCTGTGCCATGATGCACGGATATTCCAAATTCTCCAGCATGGTTTGATTCGAGTTCACAATAAAAAAGATTTACAAATTTGCGGCGAGACATTTGGATTTAAAAACACATCATATTTTAAGATCTGCTTCGTGTAGTGACCTGTTTTAATGATATACCGGATCTTTCGGAAGGTCAGTTGATAAACACCCATTTTCCCTGTTCTATTTGCAAGTCTTCATATTCAAATTTGTCACGATTCCTTTTGATTTAAATTATTTATCATGACGTATCTCTTCTACGGCTGTTACAGATCTTCCAATTAACATGGTTTGCATTGTTTATCTTGATTATAAGATGATTATCCTGTGCGTCGACTTTATGTAGTCTCTAGGGTATCAGAATTATATGAACGAAATCAATTAACACTTTCTTTTTTGTCTTGAGCCATTTGTTATTGAACTTTTCCAAAAACAAACAAGTGTTCATAAACAAATCCACGATTGAATATTCTACAGTTCAAGTAGTTGAAAAACGCAATGAAACAAAGATTGATGGCTGCAGGACAAAAGTCTCTTTTTCTCAGCAATGTTTGGAAGTCATAAGATAGAGATACCCAACCATCGCTGATTCGCAATTACATAAGAAATGTGATTTAATGTTGGGATTGTGAGCCCGAATGAGGTTTTATTTGGCTGATATCTCATCACTTTTGTGGAATTCACCTAGACTTACGTATTTTTTTTTTCAATTTCTTCCTTCCTCAAGGTGTATCTTTGATGAGCCTTTTTTTCTCATAACACTTCGTAAGATTCATAACGTTTACAAATTTGTAAATTTCAAACATAACTGGCTCCTAGTAAACAATCGACTGCGCTCATTCACAAAAACATTTATAGTTTGCCTAGGTGAAATTGGCCACTGTTATAAAAAGGCGTCTGCAAAGATTCAACTTTGCATTTGCTACAAGTATGCTTTAAGGTCCATAACATTCATTCCATTCATAAATGCGGGCATACATGCCTAAACCTAAAAAAATCCCTCCACTAAAACCCACAAAACACTTACCTTTTCCAACGGAGGTGACCGGAGTCGGCTGACCCGGTTGCTGCTGCTGCTGCTGAGCCTGCATTTGCTGGTGCTGCCGGAAGTAGTCGGACCAAGCGTAGTTCATATAGGCCGCATCTATCCATCCCGGATTGAGCATAAACGGATTGAATGCTCCCGGATGGCCGTAGGCGAAATCTGTGGGTTGAGAAAGAAGAGCAACATGGTGAAGATTAACCGGTCTTCCGTTAGGTTGCGATCTGACTTTGAAGTCGAATGATGGAGGCGCGCTGTTAGAATTGTCAAAGGGAACTGGGAAAGCTCTTTGATGGTGGCGCACAAACAAAGCAAAACGACACTGTTGCGGAGCGGTAAAAGTCGAGAAGTAAGTTGAGATGTGTGAAATTCAAATGTTTACAAAGGCAAGAGTTTTTCGTTTGCGACTCTTTGTCTGTTCTTTCTTTTCTTGCTTCACCCATGCGTGAGAAAGAGAAAAAAGACGGCACGTGAGGGCGGAGACTCATGTTTAAATTATCAAAGAGATGAACTTCCGGAAGTCTTTTGTTTTCCGGTCGTCGGGAGCACTCCAAAAAACGGGGGGTGGAGGGGAGCGAGGGGATAATGCACGCACGTTCCGAACGACCCAATTTCAGACGATTAATATTTAATGTTGGTATTTATGCTCTCGCGCAGCATATGGTTCGATTGTAACGCTACCATCTACTGACATACAGTGGGGAAAGACGAGCCAGCGTTGTTGGCTGGCGCCTTCAACTCCAAACAAATCTAACACTTTATGGATCACAACGGAAGAATTTATTGGAAAACTGGCGCCTCCGTAAAACGAATAGATCATAAAATACACACTGAACTCTTGCACTGGGAAAAACTTACTTTGTTTAGATCGAGGTTCCCGAGGACCGTCAACGGTGACTTTGATTGCTTTGGTGTAGGTGGCAATCTGACTGGGGTACGAACTGATTGTTATCGTAACGGAGAACGACTTTCCTCGGCCAGATCTTCCAACGAACCGAAGATCGTTGAACTTTGCCACCTGATTCTTCATGACCGCCGTACAATTACGCAGTTCGGCATGGTAGTTTTCGTCATTACCGGCTTTGATGGTAACTATGGTTCCATCCTGGATATCATCCAGGGCGATAACCTTGAAGGCACATGGCAAGCTTTTGTTGGAGCGCCAGTGCGTCGGCAGAGCCGAACAGAGAACCGCCGGCGAGCCGGTCTGCACCAACTCCCCATGGTACTCCTGCAGCATATCATGAAGATTCGAGAACATATCAGTCATACTTTTATCTGCTGTCGGAGGAGTTTGACACTCGCTGCTAGCCGGAAGATGCATCTGAGTTTCACTTAATGATTCCAACTTGGATCGCAATCGGATAACTTCCTTTCACTGTATTCACTTGTTTCTCGCACTCGGATATCCTTGCACGATACTGTCTAATCCATCAAATGGCAACAGTTGCTACACTTCTCACTCCACTATCAACCGTATCGGTAGCGTCTTCCAAGCATGCGTACGCTTGAAACTGCGAACTTAGAAAAGCGTGTCTCTTTCCGTTACGAGTCACACCACACCACCGATTAAATCCTTCGTGATTTTTCTCCTTATCCTTATCCAAGGTGATGTCACATACTTCACTAATTTTTCAGAAATGTATCATAGATCTACCTTAATCGGTCACAAGATCTGTTGATCACGTCCCGAGCTTTCAGCACATAAAATTCTAAGTTACTCGAACTCCTCCGCGGACCACTTCCCAGGACATGTAATTCACACAATGTCTCAGATGGAACTGTTTTTAAAAATCGCTCACCGATTCCTCCCTGACTCCGGACGGCATCAGACGGCGCGCGCGAATACACACCAGCAGCCACTCTGTGCGTACGGTGTACCCCTCCTAGGCCTTACAACTGTGTTTGTACCCTTCGCATATATCTGAACACTTTTTCTGTTTGGTTTTCCACACGCTTTTTTTTTCCTCCCCTCAACCTCACTCGCTCTCTCGCACCGACTCGTTGCTTCCTTGCATCGAACAACCGGCAGCGACCCACAGAAAAACCGCGCGGGTTCTCCTTCGCTCACTCTCGCTCCCTTTTTTTGTTTTCCAGCAGTCAGCCGTCGTCATTCTCCACACTTGCGAGCGTGGCAGCAGCATAAAAAAAATTCTGTGCTTTTCGGGGGAAGCACATTTTTATTTCGACACAACCACATTCTCAGCATTTTTTTCTCTTTCTCTCACTTTTTTCAGTTTCAATAATAATTTCTCTCTCACTTGTACCATGAATCACCCCCACCACTCAACGGTCTGTTTTGGCTGGTCCGCTTAGTACAGTCTTCACAGACCGCAGTTGTCACTGTATGTGCGAATCCAAAAGGATCCTGCAAGGATCAACACTGCTGCAAACGATGGGTGGGAAAGAGAAACAGCAAGGAAGCAGCGGAGGGGTCATGCACGGAAGCTTTGGTCGTTCTTTGATCTTGTTGTTTGTTGATTTTTTTTTCTCTCGGTGAAGAGTGTGGGACGAACGTAGCATGCGAAAGGAAAACAAACAAGAAGGATCTTCAATGAGCCAAATGCAATCGGTTCGTCCTTGAGGGCTGAGGTAGGAAGGTAGCAGCAGCAGCAACGGAGGCTATCGGGTGGATGGTTCGGGAGTGTTAATAACTTGCCAGGCTATTATAGGATGGAACATCTCAATTAGTTTGTGAGAGAGCAAGCGTGTGAGCAGTTCGATGGAAGTCAACGGGCAGCTGGCCTTGAAGGACGTATGTTCAACGACGATGATGGCACGAGCTGGGTGATGTTGGGATACGGTTATCGTGTGTCCTCAAGGATGCGTGTGTCCACGCCAAATTGCTATGGGTTTTTGGGATGGCTTGGTTAGGCTTATTTTGGTGTGGAACATTTGGGTATCGCATCATATACTGCAGGTGAACTATTAACTGTTGGCCACATAAGTTTGCAATTCTTTGCGTCTTAATACGATCCTCGTAAGCCGGAAGAAGATGCTGAACCTCAAATTGAATCAAACCCCGTAATGTGATAAGGTGAGGATTTGCACTCGTTTGAGTAACATAGACTGACGGAAAATAAAAATAAATGCATTCCATCGTACCAATTGGTATTAAACTTGGCAGGAATGCATCCGCCGGATGTAAAATATCAATGATGAACCACAACAACAACAACAACAACAACAACAACAAAAACAAAAACCACTTTGTATCTATTCATCCATGAATTTCAATGATTACCGGCTACGTTTCAACATGATAATAAGCTCAAATGGATCATGGATGGTTAAATGGGGATCGTTAGATATGATGTCATCTTCCACTTATTGTGGAGAAATTCAGCCTCGAATGATAAATCCTTTCATAAAACTTTATAACTGCTTATGTTGGGTAAGGTATTAAGCGTCTCCATTGATTTCATTGTCACCAAGTTAGCGTGAGATACATTGTTTTCGGAATGAGTTCCCAACAGTTTTCTTTAACCCTTTGTGAGACAGCGGCAACTATATTTTCATCAACAATTGATATTTTTATGTTCCCTCACAATATCTTTATACTTTTTTTTTAACTGGTGGAAATTTTGAGTGTTTATCAACAATCCTTATTTTTCTGAGCCACAACAAACGTAAAATGACAATCCGAATGCAATATTTGTGCCAACAAACGACTATTTTTGAACAGAATAAATTTAATTCTTGTAATTTTTTTTCGTAATTATCGTAGTTTAGTAAAATTGAAGCCAAATATAAGCCAATAGTTTTGTAACAAATGATCCAAATATTAGCTTATTTGGCTCCTTGTTTAAATAAATATTGCAGTTTGAAAAATGGTACCGTAAAACGGGGTAGCTTTGATAGTAAAATATAATGATTATATTGACCTTCTGCACTATTTCCCAATTGGAAACATTGGTTCCACTTTGAAGCTCAGGGTATTATCTTTGATATCGTATAGAGTTTTTATATAGTACTAGCTGAGTGTGCCCGGCCTTGCTCGCGATTCAATATTAGCTTGAGTTTATGCGCCAAAAAAAAATAAGCATACTATATTGTACGTAGCCCCCCCCCCCCCTCTTATCTAAGTGGCTACCCTCTATTACCATCTCCTTATACCTCCACATGTCAAATTTGGTTCCATTTGCTTGATTAGTTCTCGCAGAAATTTCTGTTTCGTTTCATTTGTATGGGAGCCCCCCCCCCCCCTTACAGAAGGAGGAGGGGTCTCAAACCATCGTAAGAACCTTTTCCGGCCCTATATACCAATTTTCACGCCAATCTGTTAAGTAGTTTCAGAGTGTATAAGGGTCAGACAGACAGACAGAAATTCATGTATATATAGGTGAAATGTAGGTAATGTCGGCCTACATGTCTCTAATTTGGGCCCTTACATAAATTCAAGAATCGACTAAATTTTCAATTGCGACCAAAAATATCCATTAGTACCGTCCTAATGACGCGTTAATCTAGATACAATTGATAAATAGCAGACTTTTAGCGATGGGCCCAATCTTAGATCCATAGGCCAACATTAGAGCCATTTCCCCTATATAGATGTGTTACATATTTTCCAAATAGGGGAAATGGCTCTAATACTGGCCTATGGATCTAAAATTGGGCCCATCGTTAAAAATCTGCTATTTATCAATTTTATCTAGATGAACGCGTAATTGGGACGGTACTTATGGATATTTTTGCTTCCTATTGCAAATTTAATCGATTGCTGATGTTATGTATGGGCTCAAATTAGGGGCACTTAGGCCGACATTACATCCATTTCCCTTATATGACAAAATTAATGTCCTTGTTGAAGAAATGTATCTCCGATATAAAGGTTGTATTCGATAATAATGGCACACACATATTTACTCAATACTGGAAAACTACTAATGAGTTATGATTTACAAAATTTTTTTATTCAACTTCGTCTCCCATCCCGAATGCCCGCCCCTTCCTTTTCACTCCACCCATCAAATTTTGTACAACCAATCCCAGTGTTTTTTATTGTTTTTACCCAAATTTTCTTCAACTCCAGCTCTGTTTCAATAGTTTTAGGATGTTTGTGAAGTTCCGTCTCCATAATGGCCCAGAATTTTTCAATTGGGCGAAGTTCCGATGAATTTGGTGTGTTCATATCTTTTGGCACAAAATTGAATCCGTTGGCTCGATACCACTCCAACACGTTTCGACCGTAGTGGCAGGATGCTAGATCAGGCCAAAACAGAGTTGATCCTTTTTACTTCTTTATGAGCAAGAGACGCTTCTTAATGCACTCTTTCGTGTAAATCACACCATTGATTGTTTCGGAAGTGATGAAGGGAGCGCTTTTTTCACCACATCTGCAAATTGCCTGTCAGATCAGGAACCTCTTTGCAAATTTCGATATTTTCTTCTTTCGAACAACCTCCGGAACATCAAACTTAGACTTGGCAACGAAATATTCTTGCCCAGAAAGTTGAAGGAAGTAGGTCGTGACGTAAGTTTCGTCATCTATCACGATGCAACACGATTTGGTGAGCAACTTCGTGTAAAGTTTCCGGGCGCGGGTTTTAGCAGTTATGTTGTGTTTTTAATTCCGGTTTGGGGATTTTTGCACTATGTAATCATGTAACACAGCACGCTTCACACCTTGGACTTTTTAGCGACACCTCTAATTGACATGTTTGGACGGTTCTTGAACTGTTGCACCACTTTTTTTGGCCATTTTACTGTCCAGGACCACTTTTACGACCACCTTCCTTTCTTCGGGCACTCAGACGCTCCTTGAAGTTTCTTTTCACACAATACACAGTTGTATTTGAAATTCCAAGCTTTTTATCGAGCCATCGGTGGGACGCCTCTGGATTTGATTTGAGTGCACACATTTTTTTCACGGGCAATTTCTTGTTTTGATGACATGACTGGAACTACTGGATGAATAACTATGAATTTTAGTAGATGTACACAATGCACTATGAATAAGATTTACTCAAATTTTCAGGTTTTTTACTCATACGGTTCAAAAGTTACAGAAGATTTTCGGTGTACCATTTTAATCGAATACACCCTTTAGCCATCACAAAGCTTATGTTGTCTTTTCAATGCTTATGATGTTTCTAATTATATTCTCATTGAAAGTTTCATATTTTTTAAACTGAATTGTTTGAGTTTTTTCCTACATTAATCGAGGATTAACCCTTTGTGTGAAGCTTGGGGTCAATTTGACCGCAGACCACTTTGAAAAGCTGTAACTTTTTTATTTGTCGATGGATTTTACTATTTTTTTCGTTACTAGGTGTGTCCACCAAAGCTTTGTAACATTAGATGAAATGTGCTCCAGAAAAACTTGTCAACATTGTAACTTTAATGGGTTTAATGGACTTACGGGAATCACTAATATCGCCTATCGAATTTATCCGTTTGTTGATGATTTGGTGAGCCCAGTGAAAATAATGGCGGTTCACTTTATAATCAATGTTCGGAGCCGTTTTAGCTCTAATGCAGCTTCATCAGCAGCATTCCGCAAAATAATGTATAGAGCTTTAGTAGGTTTTGTTATCAGCTAGAACTTTTGTCCATAACTCAAATCTGTATCTCTTATGCATCACGAATTAGAGCGGGCAGAACTTGTTACTGTTTTTCAGTGAATGTTAAATACATTCACTGAAAAACCGTAGTGGTTTCTGTTCGCTCTGGTTCGTCATAAATAAGAGATACGGATTTGAAATGCTGACAAAAGTTGTAGCTAATAACAAAACCTACAAAAGTTCCAAACATTATTTTGCGGAATTCTGTTGATGAAAACAGTTAGG